GATCCAAGTTATGGCCTCCATGGCTCACTTGGCGTAATCAATGCATTCTGTACGATTTTGTGCTTAAATAACTGCATAGCAAGTATTTATTTAAGCGCGTTACGTAATGAAAGTCTCAAATGGAAATTACATGGTCAGTCATCTATTCTGCTTACATTGCCGGGGCCAAATTGTTCCTGGCAGTTATACTTTAAAGTACTGCGGTCTGCACAGTTTTCCTATAATGCAATTTATATTTTCTATTGTTGAAAATTATTGCACGTTTTTTTTAACTCACTTTCCCATGCTTCTCCCTGTTCCTTAATATTGCATGCCAAAAAAATGGGAGGAAATTCACAAATTGGTCAGGATTAGATGAATTCTGGCTGCAGGCCTAAAATACACCCGTTCATTGAAATATTTCAAAACTCAAGCTACCCAGAGGTCGACTGATTGCCCTCTATGTCAGTCTGTTGGTGCACGGAACCACTAGTGTGTGTTAGTCTTTCTCCCCCTTCACTTTCCGCCCAGTGACAGGATCTGCAACGTAAGAATGGCTTTGGTGTACTGCTGTCTTAAAGTCTCTGCCCCTCCGAACGTGTCCACTAACATCCCGGCAGTTGGATGTTGCATCGCTGGTTCTGCAAAACTACAAGTGTCTTTTTATATCTAGCCAAGATTAAGAGGACAGATGGATTGTCCCTCCCTACATAAAAAGATATGTCAACTGCCTGTAGGACAAGGTTTTTTCCCCTGCCTTGACTGCACTGAGCTCTAGGACTGTCTGTCTGACAGGGCCTGAGGGCTGTCCTGGGGCAAGGCTGGAGAGATCTTCTGGTGGGATAGAGCATTAACTGAGGATTTGATGGTGGAAAGGAGGAGAAGCAGTATTCTGAACATAGGATATGCCATGTAAATATGGCTGAGAGAAAGGCACAAGCAGCCTGTTGAGGCCAGTACGGAGAGCATTGGAGGACAGGTGAAGTGTATGGCTCATAGTGTTCAGCTTTAATGCTGAGACTTTTGCATGGGATGCCAATAAAGTGGGGAGTCGATGGAGGTGTAAGGAGCTGGAACGGTGCTGCTGCAGAGAAGGCAGAGTATCAGCAGCATTTACCCAGAGGCAGCTGTGTCTACTTGGTGACTTGGTTATTAAAGGAAACGTTCAAGAAATCAGAAGCAAAAATACCGTCATATAGTGTGTTTGAGGCAATAAGTCAAATAGTGAAAGGGATTTAAGGCTTATTGTTAATAAATCCTTGAGTACTACAGAAAAGAGAAGGTAGCACCAATGGAAGCACTTGTGGAACTTGAGGTTCTGGTCAGACCTTGTTCAGAAAACTAGTGACTCATATTTTGAAAATAAAGTTGAGCACTTAATATGCCAAGATTAGCACAATAGGAATTGTGTTGGAAAGCTTGCAATGTAGGGCAAAAAGCACTATGCTGAACTTTGAGAATATATGTGAGGAAAAGCTCTGGGCTTTGGACCAGTTCTCAGCAGAAATGAACAGACTTGCAGGAGCCCTCAGTTAAAGAAAAAACAGCACAGTGGAAGAGTTTTCTGAAAAAAGAGCTTTTTCTGAAAAAAATCAGGCTTAAAGATGCCACTTAAAGATCAGTCCTGATAAAGTCATTGAAGCAAATGGTTTGAGTAGTAAGAGGTATAAATTAGAAAGCAGGTAACTGGGAATGAGAAAAAGGATGACCTAGTTGAAAAGAAGAAAGCTTTTCCTTCTCTGCCACTTCCTAACATTTTTAATTCTTAATCACAATTAACAGACATCTTGAAAGCATGTCATCCTCTTAGAATAAAATCAGTTTTGGAAAAGAGGTCACTGTTAGCAGGTTCTGAAGAATGCTGTAGAAGTTGTATTTTAAACAGTGAAATTATTGCATGGTGTGAATTCCCTGTTCCAGAAATAGAGCAGAAATGAGTAAATTAACTAAAATGCTAGAACAGCCATCTAACTTGATCTCCGTACCTGACTCAATGGGGGAAACAGGAATTAATCACAGCTTTCCTTTAAGTGCAGAATTGCCTGCCCTGATATTTCCTGAAAGTACATAAAACAGTCTGTAGGCCTGTGTGCATTTTATATTAATAATAAATCTATCTACAATCAGGCATTTTAACATCAATCTTAATCTAGCAAGTCTTCTTTTTTATCAATTGAATCACTATTTTAATTGACTTCTAAAAATGAAGCAAAGGCTGTTGTTAAAACCAATGAGCATGATGCATAGTAATATACTGATTAGAATTCAGCTCTGTTCGCTCCTGTCTTTTGCATAACTTAGAAGGAACTCGGCATTGGATGCAATCCAATTTTTATAAGTGAATATCTACAAAATTGAAAATTAGATGCTTGGCCACTCTTACTTATTTATGCGTACTATTTTTCTTTTTTTAAATAACAAAAATGGAGATAATGCATTGGCCCCAATTCAAGTCAAAAGTCCTTTAGATACAGGCTTTGATAGATACGTTTATTACAGTATTTAGCAAATGATTCCCCTTTATTAACCAGTCTTATAGCAATGACAGGACCTTCTCAGGACCCTGAGGAGCTTTTGTGTATCAGTTTACTTCCACTCAAATCGAAATACGCACAAGGAAGTAATATAATCATCTCTTCCAGTTTATATATGTTAGATACTTTAGGTTTGAGAGTTAAAGCCAAGAACCTTACACTTGTGTGTTTATTTGCATTGCAAAATTTCTGGCGCTAAAACTAATGAAAGCATTGCCCAATAGTGTTTTAAAATGTATAATAAATATATCTGTTTATGAACCACTAACATTGTTATTGAAATCAGCTGAAATTTCTCCCTGTTTTCATCAGCTGAAGTCCTGGCCTGACGTAGGTTTCAGAAACGAGTTCTTCCTAGCTTGTAGTAGCATACACGAGCTCCATTCTCTCTTAGGAGCACCTTAGTAAGTTTTATATGTGTTGGAAGAGTCATCTTCCAGAAACCATTGAGATTTGAAATCAACGTTTCAGTGACAACATAGGAATGAGGACTGGTACCCATGTTTTACCCTGTCTTACCTTGAGAAGGATGTTAAATTTTAACTTAAATCTATTTTAAGAAATCAAAAAAAATGAGACATAAAATATGGAACACAAAGAAAGTAATAAAACATGCACATACCTATTTTAACTATGTGAGCTTTGAAACACTCCTCTTGCCCTTCTTCACTGCTAACTCTGCCTCTATTTGATTTTCAGATTGTTATCTTTACAATCAGTAAGACACTGATTGTATCATTCCTGAAATCTAGATTGCAAGAGATTTCTATTCAAGACTTTCCTTTTTCCTGTCTGTATCCTACAATAATTATAATAATAGCAGTAAGAACATTAAATATATGCATAGATAGTAAATGAATATGAGCCAGGGTATATCCCCTGCTTGCTTTTCAGATATTTTACCGCTAGCAATTTTTTTCGGAAATTGTTGGAAGTTTGCAAAGAAATACATAATTACAAACTTAATCCATCAGACGATATACAAGTAAATATAGTTGAACTGAGCATCACATTTTACTTGGGCTCCTTGACAATCATTAGAGCATAAATTGTAATAGTTAGAGCAGTCTACAGGGGTATATAGGTATTTTACAGCTATTGTAAATGAGCGGTATTAAAGTTAGACATGTGTGCATATAAAACCACAGGAATGGTAGTTGAAGAAAGAACACCTGCTTCTTCTAGATTTTCAGATTATTTTGTATCTAAAAACAGAAAGAGGAAAATAAAAATGTTCTTTCTAATCACTGCCACCATATGATCACAGCTTGAATTATTAAACAGGCATTCTTAACCATTTACTTTACAGCTATGCCTGCAGGTCTTGGTCAGGACCAAGCACTGTGCTGGGCACCGTGCTAACACCTGGACGGACATCATCTCTGCTGCGAAGAATTACCTTGCAATTTATTACTTGGAATAGATTAATACAAATGATTGATGAAATATAATGAATTGATACTCTGAGCGCATTGCGCACTGATCTGAAAAAGACCCGTCAATAAACAAATGTTTTAGGGTTCCCTAAAGTATGTCCCTGATTTAAATGGCGTTTAATGTTAATAGTGACTGCCCAGTGACCGAATGATTTAGGAAGGCAGATGATGAGAGCACTGGATAAATGTATTTTCTCTGGGAATCTGGCTCAGCATTTGACTTGACTCTTCCCACTGGAGCGTTCCCACACCGACGTGAGCTGTGCAGACCCTGAAGGTAGGGCAAGAGCTGCAAAAACGCCTGGTGCCAGGCCCTACCGCCTCAGCCTCTGGCCCCGAGCCCTGGCGATGGGCTGCCTTTGGGGCGAAGGAGGAGGGCACCCGAAGGTACCCGCAAACAACGCTCTCCCCTTTCCAGCGTTCATGGGCAACCCACCGTCGGCTGTCCCCAAGAAGCAGTGGTACCACTGCCAATATTAGTGGAGTTCAGGAGGGAGTAGGCAAGAGAGGGTATTTCTGTTTGTTTGTGAACGCAACGCAACTGCACAGCTTTGAGTGGCATCAAAAAGTCAAACGAAAAAGATGAAAGTTAAGGAGAAAGAGGAAAGAAGAAGAACTTACGAAATGATGAGATCAGAGAGGAAAGAAAGTTTAGCGCATGGAAATAGGAAGCATCGTGTAATGCAGCATGTAGCGAAACTGGAATGCAAGTAATGTTTTCTGTTTCTTGGTCCTCCTGTTTCTCATGAGAATATTTTTCTGTGTTCTTGTCTTTAGTAAGCACTGAATTCACAGTCATACTGTTAAACCATTGCACATTTTGATTAGTGTTATTGTATGCAATTAATATGCGTTGCTTTTCTTACCTTGCTGTATCTTTATATTTAGGCCCACAATAGAAATCTGCTATCCATTGATTTTGATCATGTAACCAGAACAGGAAAGATTTATGATGATCATCGAAAATTCACTCTTCGGATTATGTATGACCAGACAGGACGCCCAATTTTGTGGTCACCCATCAGCAAGTATAATGAGGTCAATATCACTTATTCACATTCTGGATTAGTGACCTATATCCAAAGAGGAACCTGGACTGAGAAAATGGAATATGATCCAAGTGGGAACATAATTTCCAGAACATGGGCAGATGGTAAAATATGGAGTTACACATATTTAGAAAAGGTAAATCATTTTCAAAGTGGATCATTGAACCAAGGAGACAATATTTGTTTTGATGCAGATACTATGTTGTGAACAATGTCATATCACTAGCAAGAGTATTTCAGACTTTTTAAACAGAAAATGCATGCAATTCTATAACTAGATGTCTCTGGACAGTCATTTCTTTTCAGAACTGTGTTTAATCACTTATTAAAACTAAAATTCAGTGAAATGTTTTTTAATTTAATTTCTACAAATTGATGTGATTGTTGTTGAAAACAGAAACTTTTTCCAAAAGAAACTCAAAACCAAATGTTAATGCAAAATAAATAAGGCTACAAACTATATTGTTATTCAGTGACACATTTATGTTGAGTTAAGCATGCTGAATTAAACCACCAACATGGACTTTCTTTCTACATTCAGCTCATATGTATTATTAGAATACCGTAGATAGTTTTCAGATGTTAAAAAAAAAAGTGTAGATTAAAATGCCTGAGCCCGTATGTCACCAGTTCAAACTAACTATAGTTTAGTTATGAAGATTTTTGTTAGCACCTCAGATTTGTGCAGTAGGTGGGTAAAATTGGTCTCAGTCGAAGTTCAAGTGAACCTGTCACTGTTGAAAAACTTGTTACCCTTCTGTATAACAGTCAAAAATATAATAGTCACTGAAATTGAAGTTTCCTCCCTACAGACACAGCCTTTTGGGGCCAAAGTTATGAGATTGTGCCAAAATCATGAGACAATGAGTGCAGGCTTGTATCTATTCAATTCTGTGCTGTAGAAAAGGACTGATCCTATAAGGAAAAAGATTCCTTCAGTATTTGTGAGGGGGCCGTTTGAGTGGGAAAAAACAACCCTATATGAAATCAATTATTTCTCTGCTTTTGCAGAGGCTTCATGTCTAAATTGCCTGAGAACTGTAATTTTCGTGTGTGTCTATAGGTAATGGTCACAAAATGGGGGAATAAATGTTGTGCAGTCTAAGGAAGAGCTGCATCTCATTCATCTCTTGATGCATTTCATTTGATACTGTTTTTTTCTCTCAAATCCAAAAAGCCAATCTATATTTTTAAAGCTTTCAGAACTGAGTGTGAATTTATATTCAAATAGTGTCCTTTTAAACTTTTATTTAAATAGCAAAGGCTTAGACTCTCCGATATACCTTGAGTTTGCACAACATTTTTTCTGAACCTGTTAACCACAGGGAAAGGATGGAAGGGGGCAGGTGAGGTAAAACTGATTGGGGTATTACACGCAAGAAATCCAATGACTTTGAAGTCATTTATATATTTAAAAGTTCCAAATGTGTACTTTTAAGATAAACTTTGCTGTACTTATTTTGAATGTGTTTAAGCCTGATCCTCAAAAAACTTGAATCTAACCCAGAGAAAAAGACGATTCACACAGGCAAATGCATAAAAATGTGATTCCTTCCTTGTCTGCATGCAGGATGGCTTTTGCACTTGTTAACAAGATTGGCAAGCCCTAGAAGCTTCAGAAGTTTGCTTCAGATAAATTTGTCAGGGCTTCCTTTGTCTGTATGCTCTTTTGCAAATTGCAAGTAAACAGGCATTAAGTACAGCTTTCAAATATTTGGGCAATGTGCCTTTTGGAGAATGTTTTATTTCTTCTTTGGGCCTAATGGACCGTAATTTTGGAAAGATGCATGTTTTTTATCTTTCCAAACCACTTTGTCTTTTCATAGTTTATGATGAGCTTATAAATAAGTCATATAACTTAAGACTGATATGCTAGAATTCTGCACAAATGGACAAATCCTGATCTCGTAGAAGCAAACGGCGGAAGCGTATTGGTTCAGGTAGAGGCAGGCTCAGTTGATGTTGTAACTTGTCATTCAAGTTACTGAAAGTCATAGACACCGTGGACATCATCTCCCAGCCATCTAAAGTACCTTCATCACTGTTTGCTCCAAAGAAAAACGAATTCCTTGTCAAATTAGACACTGAGATACCATTTAGTGGCCCCATTAAAGTCAATAGCTCATTGTGTTAATTGTGTTATGTGTTAAAGGTTGCCTGAAACCTCATGAGATCCAGTAATTCCTTTTATCAAAAAATCAATTATATAGTTCACTTCTGATTTATAGGTATTTACTTTTTCATTAATTAGCACTTTGTGAGTTAATTATATGTCTTCATGAATCTCTCCCCTTTCCAAGGTTAGTCCCAATAATTTAAGTTTTAAAAAGCACTATGATAGTAGTACTGTCAGTGGGTTTTACTGATTTGATTCACTTTCCCTTGTTTTGGTCCCTTTCAGTAATTAGTTAATGTAAAATCTCCTGAGTTCTCGAAGCTGTTTACAGGCAGACAAAACAGATGAGCGATGGCATGTGTATGTTGGACAGAAATGACATCTAGTGGCCATTTTCAGCATATCTGTGTATTCCCAGTAGGGCTCCACAAGTAATCGCCACCAGCTGTTTCTCGCAATGTATCCCGTGGCATCAGTCATTACGTGGTTGACCCGGCTCCAGTTGCTTTTATAAAAAGACAGAGTGTGGGATATTTTATGAGCTACCCTCTGAAATCCGTTAAAACAGAGCCCAGTTTGTGTAAATAGTTCAAAAATCTATTGTAATGTTATTAGGATGAATAGGGAATTACTTCATTTCTCTTTATAGTATCCTCTGATACTATAGATAGGATACTAAGTCTCCAGTCCGTCTAGTGTCTGTCCTTTTACTCTCCTGGACAAAAGCGGAAGAGCCACAAAGTACTGTAAAAATGGCACACAGGGGCACTAAAGTTATGTTAGAGATGTTTCTGATCTTGTTATTCATACGCTGTCAATGGCAGACAGCTTAAAAACAGGCCCGGGAGCTGTATATAGAGCGAGGCATCACATCAGCACTCGGCGAGAGTTCAGCCAGTGGTTTACTGCAGATTGGGGACCGGTGACTGAAGGTGAAAATAAAATGAACGCTGGGTGTGTTAGAACTGCTTGGCAGACCAGCAGTAAAGCGGTCAGAAAAAAAACTCGGTGGAAAGGGCTGTCGTCACCATTTGGCACTGGATAACCTGAGAGTGGCATATGCTGGTGCTCCCTGGCTTGGGTACAGGTGACAGATGTCTTTCACCAAAGGCAGGAAGAAATACACCTTGGGAGGGCAGGCAGGGAAGGGAGGATGGCTGAGGCTTAGCCTATCTTCAGCCCTTCAAATAGGCACCTGGGTCGTTTGTCAGAGCAAAGTGGCTTAGGCCAAAGTTACTTAACCCATTGCAGGCTGAGCCCTTGGTGTTTTCTTCCCAGAGCTTTTTGAGCTTAGAGAAAAAAAGTCTTTTTTCTGATTTCTTTCCCCAATGCTTTGTGAAAAAGCACAATTACAATGTTCCTCGAAAGAATTTGTTTTGCCTCGATTGTGCAAAAGTACAAGTTTGCTTATGTGCCTGGTAGAATTGGGCCAAGAGCTTGGCGATATCGGAGCTACTTTTAAGCTCAGACGTTGTGGCAAGGATGTACAGGGCGCAAGTACAGCCAAGCCATCTATTAGAGCTGGGAGAGTGCTACAAATTTCTCCCATGAATTTTCCCGCTATGTTTTCGTTATACTTGCGACAGTGACACTTCACCGCTGGGCTTGTACTCGACGCTCTGTGACCATACACATGACCAATGGAAAGATTTAGAGAACACAAACTGTGAATTTGCACAAGAAAAGATGTCTGCCATGCTTGCGCATTCTTCTGCCAAACAAACAAGCCAGATTTCATTGACGAGCCACGATTAACCAACACGGAGCAGTTATCAAGTGCTTGTGTAGAAATTATGTTCTTTTTAAACATTAATTGCAGAGATAGAAGTAGTCACCCCAAAGAACCTGCAGGTCATTTTGATCCATCCGTAAGCCTGGGGATACTCTGACCCCTAGGGCAACGTGCCTTTAATAGAAGACATACAGAGGTGTATGTCTGTGCTAGAAATATGCACAGTGCCAAAAACAGCTAAGCACCTCGTGCACACCATCTGTACCACTGCTGGAACAGATGCTCCACCTGTGCATGGGAGGGAGAGATTCCCTCTGTTTTGGCTTCCTGAGAGAATGACCTAAATATTTCAAAGCAACACAGCAAGTCAGCATGAGGCTGAAATGCTACTGAGAGCCACATCTGCCTTCCAGTTTGGGGTCCTTGCATGTTGACTTCTTAGCATTCCCTTTCTGTTCTGAGCCGCATTGATGGCCAGGTTTCCTGGAGCTTTACTTTGGGTCATGCAGACAGTAAGAGCCGACTACAGGAGTGGATGGTCATTTCAGCATTTTCTTAGTCTTCAGGCACTCGCTAGATTAATAATCATTTGCTTGCTCAGCCACTGACACTGCCGTTCCTGTCTGATTGCAGTCGGTGATGCTGCTCTTGCACAGCCAGCGCCGCTACATCTTTGAGTACGACCAGTCAGACTATCTGCTCTCAGTTACCATGCCGAGCATGGTGCGCCACGGCCTGCAGACCATGCTCTCCGTTGGGTACTACCGGAACATCTACACCCCACCCGACAGTAACGCTGCTTTCATACAAGATTTCACCAGGGATGGACGCCTTCTGCAAACGTTGTATCCTGGAACAGGACGCAGAGTCCTTTACAAATATACCAAACAATCCCGACTGGCCGAGATTCTTTATGATACTACTCAAGTCACCTTCACTTACGAGGAATCTTCTGGGGTTATTAAAACGATACACTTAATGCACGATGGGTTCATCTGCACCATCAGATACAGGCAAACAGGTTTGTGTAACTATGACTACTTTGCTAAAGTTTTTGGCCTTGATTCTGCTAACGCCACTTGCCTGGCATGAAATTCCATTATTTTTATATATAAAAGTTCTTATTTTTATGTTTCAGTAAAAAAATACGTGCGTATATCTCGATGTCTGTGTCCGTAGGCACATATAGTTGTCCCATTTGAAATACGCAGTTTTCTTTTTATTGCTTGGTGTGGAATAGCTCTTCTCATGTTTGATTGTTTTTATTCCACTGTGTGGATATTTGCTAAATACTAAATCAAGTTGTTTTATTGTTTGTATTTTCAAGTTTCTCTGTTTATACCGTAACATAACATAAATTCAAAGGGACTGTATATATGAGGAAGGAAATCACCACGTAAAATAAATTCAAGTTAGAATTATCTTGTAAGTAAATAGAAATCATAATTTGCATTAATTTAAACAAATGTTAATAAAATATAAATATTTCGAAGAGCAAGCATTAATAAAGGTTTGTGAGAAAATAATCTAACGTATTTTTACTTAATGGTGCAGTCTGAGACAGTCAAGTAGTACCAAGACTCAGGGGTATATTTGAGTTCGTAGCTTGTCTTTGCTAGTTCTGTAAGTATACTGTGGGCATAATTCATTGTTTTCCTTGCTTTTCACCCTTTCTCCTATTTATTATGCACAGGTCCTCTTATTGGCCGCCAGATCTTCAGGTTTAGTGAAGAAGGGCTTGTAAACGCCAGATTTGACTACAGCTACAACAATTTCCGTGTCACAAGCATGCAGGCCATGATAAACGAGACGCCTCTTCCCATAGATCTGTACCGTTATGTTGATGTCTCTGGCAGGACTGAACAGTTTGGGAAATTCAGTGTAATTAATTATGATTTAAACCAAGTTATAACCACCACTGTGATGAAGCATACGAAAATTTTTAGTGCCAACGGCCAGGTGATCGAAGTACAATATGAAATTCTCAAGTCTATCGCTTACTGGATGACCATCCAGTATGATAATATGGGTCGTATGGTGATCTGTGATATACGCGTAGGTGTAGATGCCAATATAACAAGATACTTTTATGAATACGATGCTGATGGTCAACTTCAGACTGTGTCTGTGAATGACAAAACCCAGTGGCGTTACAGCTATGACCTTAATGGCAACATCAACTTGCTGAGTCATGGAAACAGTGCTCGCCTCACTCCTCTGAGATACGATCTTAGAGATCGCATTACCAGACTTGGAGAAATTCAGTATAAAATGGATGAAGATGGTTTTCTCAGACAAAGAGGCAATGAAATCTTTGAGTACAACTCCAACGGTCTGCTGAGCAAAGCTTACAACAAAGTATCTGGCTGGACCGTGCAGTACTGTTATGATGGTCTTGGAAGACGAGTTGCAAGCAAATCAAGTCTAGGACAACATCTACAATTCTTCTATGCTGATCTCTCCAACCCAATAAGAGTTACTCACTTGTACAATCATACTAGCTCAGAAATAACATCCCTGTATTATGATCTTCAAGGTCATCTCATTGCAATGGAATTAAGCAGTGGAGAAGAATATTATGTTGCTTGCGATAACACTGGAACACCTCTGGCTGTATTCAGCAGTCGGGGCCAAGTCATAAAAGAAATTTTGTACACTCCCTACGGAGAGATCTACCAGGACACAAATCCAGATTTCCAGGTTATCATTGGTTTTCATGGAGGACTCTATGATTCTCTAACTAAATTAGTTCATCTGGGCCAGAGGGATTATGACATTATCGCTGGTCGGTGGACAACACCAAATCATCATATATGGAAACACCTGAATGCTGTTCCACAACCATTTAATCTCTATTCTTTTGAAAATAACTACCCAGTTGGCAGAATCCAAGATGTTGCTAAGTATACAACAGGTAAAAGTAACATTTCTTATGCAAATAAAGTTTGAGATCAAATTCCTATATGGATCCAAGACTTCAGAAGCCATTTGTACTCATCAGAAAATAGTGTTTGGCTCTAATCTTGCATGTGTTAAAGTCATTTCTTTAGTAGCTACTATCTTACAGAGCTTTATCTATTTTCTATAGCCTTTTAGATAATCGATAAAATAATTGATAGTTGCATCTGCTGCTTTTCTGCATGCCAAAATCAGAAGAAGAGTGGTGGCAGTGTAATCTGAATTTTTTTCCATTTTAAGTAGAAATAAGGTACACTATTGATTTCCGTATAGCTATGTTTTCTAATCAGATCATTTGTTTTCTTCAATAAATGCTGAATCCAGTACTGAAAACATAAATTGATGTGAAATCATTTCTACAAAGCTGAAATTTCTACAGAATACACTCACTTTTTTCTAAAGTTTATTTGCCTTATTGCTAGAATGCTTTGTTTTGTTTCGTAGACATTGGAAGCTGGCTAGAGCTGTTTGGTTTCCAGTTGCACAACGTACTACCTGGCTTCCCAAAACCAGAGATAGAAGCTTTGGAGACAACATATGAACTTCTACAACTTCAAACCAAAACCCAAGAGTGGGATCCTGGAAAGGTTAGCAAAAACTCTGACTGTTCAAATATTTCTAATTCTAAATTAAGGAAATTTTTTGGAAAATAACGGAGACCAAGGAAACAGCCTGGCAATATCTTTCAGCTTGATAGGCAAGTAGTCAAATCATGCTAGCAACCTAACTGTTGTCCCATTGTTTACTGACATCACAGCAGAGGAGAGTTATAAGGAGAAGCTTGTGGGAACATAATGAAACTTTGCAGCTGCTTACAGAGAAACTCTCCAAATTGGGGGGGAGCGGGGAACAACATAGGTGAAAGGATAAAGGTGCTTGGGTGAAAACTGAACAAGCTACACAAAATTTTATTGAATTAAAAAATTAAAACAACAGATTTTCATCCTTGATTGCAAAGATGCCACAGCAAGATATGCAAAATCACCAAGAATATGAACAGCTTTACAAATCTATTCCTCTGCAAAAGTTTTTTGCAGGGAAACGGAAATTTTGCTGCTCTGGATTTGTAGGGGGATCTATTGATTTTTTAGCTGTAAAGCTCAACCCAGCTCCAGGGCTCATCATCCCCCAAGAATATCCATGCAGAAGCTATCACTGTCCAACGATTCATGAAACTGCCACAGGCCCAACTACCAAGAGTACGCTGAGCAGGTGTTCATGGTTTGCCCTTGAGTACATGAGCATCTGTGAACAAAATAGCATGTTTGAAAAAGAGGAGGGAGAGGAGATGCCTTTCCCATGCACAGGTGACTGCACAAAGTGTAAAGGGCTGGAGGGTCAGAGCTGGTTCCGGATTTAGGAGCATATCCACATAAAATTCTCACAGGTCAAAAAAGATATTAGAAAGGCACAGAAAGAGTGCAGGGATAAGCAGAGTGTTAAAAGAGAAAACAGATGCTTGGAAGTCAGATTTTCTTATCCTTAGTGGTGAGTAAGATCTACAGATCTTATGTACTTGCCTGGTTCCTACTGTTCTATTGTCTTGAGATCTTCACAGTCTGCTAGCCTTAAAGAATGAGCTATTAAAAAACGTTGTTGCTACTTTACAGAAGGCATAATGAGTCGCACAGAGACTCAAGTGATTTATCTAGAATCACATGACAGGGTATAGCTTTGAATTCAAGTTTCCCCAAGCCTACAAGTTGAAAGGCCAGCCATTAGAATGACAATTCAAGGAGGGGAGGGAGAAGAATTGAAGACGGAATAAACATGAAAATACCATTTGTGATAAACACATTTTCAATTTGATTTACAGAAACTAAAGAGTCCAAGAGACAGAAAGCAATACCCTAGGCAGTTAGAAACCCTGTGCATATACCCAAGCTGTGTAGATGTGCATGACGACTTGCGAACAGATTTAGAAGATCCATTCTAAGCAGTTAAGAGATTAATAAGGACTGTGAGATGCTATAATGAGCCGCAAAATTCCTCTCCTTTAACTTTGGTTGGTATTTTCTTTTCCAGACTATCCTTGGTATTCAGTGTGAGCTACAAAAGCAACTGCGGAACTTCATATCTTTGGATCAGCTTCCTATGACTCCCAGGTATAGTGATGGCAAGTGCTATGAAGGAGTGAAGCAAGCCAGGTTTGCAGCTATTCCTTCAGTTTTTGGAAAAGGCATCAAATTTGCTATCAAGGATGGTATAGTGACAGCAGACATTATAGGCGTGGCTAATGAGGACAGCCGGCGCATTGCTGCTATCCTCAACAATGCTCACTATCTGGAGAACCTGCATTTCACCATAGAGGGCCGCGACACCCATTACTTCATCAAGCTGGGGTCTTTAGAAGAAGATTTGGCACTAATTGGCAACACCGGTGGACGACGCATTTTGGAGAATGGTGTCAATGTCACTGTGTCCCAGATGACTTCTGTAATAAATGGAAGGACTAGACGGTTTGCTGATATACAACTCCAGCATGGTGCGCTGTGTTTTAACGTTCGGTATGGAACAACCATAGAAGAAGAGAAGAACCATGTCTTAGAAATAGCCAGGCAGAGAGCTGTTGCTCAGGCCTGGACTAAGGAACAAAGACGGCTGCAGGAAGGGGAAGAAGGGATTAGAGCATGGACAGATGGAGAGAAACAGCAGCTTTTAAGCACTGGGCGAGTACAAGGCTACGATGGATATTTTGTTTTATCAGTGGAGCAGTATCTAGAACTTTCTGACAGTGCCAATAATATTCACTTTATGAGACAGAGTGAAATAGGCAGAAGGTAACAAAGAAAATCTCTGCCTTTGCGTCACCAAAGACTGCCTGTTTTTAAACATAAAATGGTTTATTGTATTGGTTTTTCTAGATCAGAACTCTGTATATGTAAATATAGAGGAAAAAACATATCCAACTGCCTTTAAATGTGACAGAAGATGGTATTTTAATATTGTTCGTTTAACTCTTTGAGAAACGACAGTGGAGATTTTTAGTTCTCGTGTGGCAGTATGCAAACGTTTCCGAGGCGGAGCGCCTTTTTTGTTGTTGATTTTAATTCACCAGTTATTTCAAAGGTTGCAGAGCCTGATTCTGCAACCCATATGTCCTGGGTAGCTTTTATTCCAGTGAGATCTGCCGTAGATTCAAGGGGTGGCATTCAAAAACCAGACCGCGTACGGAAACTTCCTACTTGCTCACCAACCCAGCACATGTCATTCTTCACAGCTATGACGTGAGGGATTTCCAAACCGGGAAAATACAGCTTATACTGGATCCGACAGTACAATAAGGCTGTCCCGTATGACATTGACCTTTGCTGGGCCATAGCCACCTCTCATTCACCCCGTGACAAATGCCACGTTGTGTTTAGTTTTGCATGTGGCAGTCTCTCTCCCCAAGGTTTCCACCTGCCCTGGGTTATGCTGGGGTCTGCTAACACCAGTATAGCTGCAGATCTCCCTGGCCAGGGGTGCAAGTGTCACAAGGTGCTACTGAGGTCCAGCCAAGTATCAGAGATGGACAAAATGGTTCTTAGCTAGCACTGAAGCCAGCAGGAGTCTGTCCAGCCTCTCTGGACTGGGCTTTAACTCAGTGCTTTTGGGACAACCTTTGTTGCCTAGCTGGGAGGGTTGGTGTGGTGCCAGTGACAATTACAAAACAAGCCCTGCAGGCCCAGTACACCCTGTCTCCATTGGACCAGAACTCTTCACAAATCATTTGTAAATCGCAGTGTTGGTTTTAGGCTCACGTTGTTTTCATCTCAATTTAATAATCCTGTTGTAATACTCATTTTTTTGAGTCTGAAGAAAGTTGGTGAGTTGGGAGTTGATGAACCTAAGTGTGGATAGTAAATATGTTGATAAACGTAGAACATTTTGGAGATGACTCTTCACTTTTCAGCTCAATATCTAGAGCGCACAGAAAAGCATTATATTGCATGGGCAGAAATTTTTATTTCCCAAGGTATCATGCGCTGCTGGCACAGTTATTTCATAGCAGAGTAGGAGATCCTTTTTTTCAGCTTGCCCTTTTTAAAAAACCTGATTATCTTGGGGCGGGGGGGTGGGATGGGTAAGCAGATTTCCTTTACTGACTTTTGGAGGGAGCTAGAAGTCTTGTTATAGAGCCTGTGTATCCGTAACAGTGATGTTATTGCACATTTCTTTCAAAACAGACATAGCAAATATATTCAAACAATTTCTGCTCGTATTTACCGAAGTCAACAAAGTGCTTTGTTTGTCTTTCTTCCTTTCTTTCCACTTTTCTTTTTTCCCTTCTTTTTGGGCAAGTGGAGCAGACCGTACCAAAGTTAGAGATGAGCCTGAACTGGACCGTCAGAGCGGATACCCAGCCATCCGGTGTGGCCTCGGGTCTTGGCCTCGTGCCGCGACTGTCTCTTTACGGCCAGCCGGCAGGGAATTTGGCCTAAAATCCGCACATGCACATTTGCATCAGGCTCATCATTAACTAATGTACGGAATTTGGAGCTGACAACATCCGCTTTTGATAGCTCTGATTTCCATAATTTTCCATAAAATCATGGAGAATTTGAATACCTCCACACCAGCCTAAAAACGGACCTTCAAAGTCCTTGAGCCTCTAATATGCTTTTAATCAATGGAAGAATAATTTCTGAACTGTATATAGAGAGTGCATTCATAAACGTGATGATGTATTTTATCACTGATCCAAGATGTCAATATTAGAGTCTATTTTACGTATATTTTAAGCAATTATACTTTTTTGCAATTCACTAATGAAATATCATTTTCAAACTGCTTTAAATATCCATTATAAACAAATATTTGAAGCTCTTAGAATTACCTTGAACTGTGCATTTCTAGTATGTAATACATATTTAGTTAGCTTGTGCCTTTAGTTTCTTAAAGTTATATTTGTATTATATGCAGGAAATGCACTTTGTATTACCTACAGCTGTGTTTTTTAATACTGCCTTGATTACTGTTGTTCTCATATTATGCCAAAAGGTCAAAGAGTGAAATGTATTACAGGTTTGTCTCTGAAAGTAGATTTGGCATTTCCCAGTTCCTCGGTAGACATTCTAAGGTGTGTTTTTGCATAATATTTCTTACAAGAGTATTGATGTATAAAAGAATCACATTACATTACATGGCGCTGTTACAAAAGAAAAAAAAAATGCCTTCATTACAACAGTTTCAGGAATTTAGAAAACTAAAAATAAATGTCATTTTGAGATAACAGTGCTAAAGAAAGAAAGAATTAATACAAGAGTGCTGGAGACTGATGTTGCATCTACACATGGGCCAGCCAGTAGTGATTGATGAGAACTAAAGCAAACAAGAAGCTTTGGACTATCTTGTTCATGAACAACCTCGAATGGAGGCAGGGAATATTTCAGTCTCCTTTTTTTTTTTTTTTAATTTTCTGGTAGTTAGGCCAATTTTTGACTGTTGTTTTTGTCATTTTCTTTCTTTTAATCTTTTAATTTTGCACTATAGCCTAGAGACCCAAATGAGAAAAAAAAACACAAAAAGAATAATAACGGCATGAGGAATTTTTTGTCAATTAGATCAGCTGATTTGATGCTAGCGTTCTGCACTGTGAACAAGGTTCTGAAAGTGGAAAAACACAAACTGAATTTTAGAAACCACTATTGCACACTGTCCTGTAGCCAAGTACCTACCAGGAGAAGATACATGTTATATTTTTTATGACAGCCAAACAAATAGTGTGTATAAGTAATGTTTCCTTTGCTTTCATATTTATTTAGCAAATCTAGAGCATTTCAAAGGTATAAATATATATATAGATATATATGTAGAACATAGCCAAATAAATATATATGGACTGGTCAATGTGCAACTCGGTATACACATTCTAGCTGTTTAGTTTGCGATCTTCAACGTCCTCTCAGTTGTACACTAGTTAGACGCGGCCTCTTTTTTTTTTAACCATGCGTTCACGCGCTTTGGGAAGTTTTGCTTTTCCAAGATCTGCACTTACTCCTGGACCCTGAGCCCTCGGTACAGCGGCGCCGGGGCGAAGGGAGGGCCAGCAGCCTGCCTGTTACGAAGCAGTAGTTTTACAAGGCGATTAACGGTGAGGAACGTTGTTGGAAGCCAAGGTACAGCTGCTAAAGCGAAAGCGTTGCAGGCAGAGGAGCTCGTGCAAAGCCAGCTGGGCAGGTGCTGCCGCGCGCCTGTCTGCTGTTATTTAAACCTGTCCTCGATACAAAACATTTTCAGGTCAAAAGCCTCCTGACTGTAAGGCGAATCACTTCTCAACAGAAACTGATGGCGGTAGAGCTCGACTTACTGCGGCTTTGTCTAGGCGTTTGTCATCGGCCATTATTTGTCTAAGGAAACGTGTTTGACAATTACCAGTTTTTCCTTAGATCTTGTGGTGGACTTTAGCCTCTTAATAAATGTTAGTATATCAGATTGTGTCCTTGACAGTATTTTACTTGTATGAACCATGATGAAGCATTGAAATCTTCATACTCTTCGGGCAAAAGTGTCAATAAAAGAGAAAGCGAAGCATAGCATACGCTGTATGTCAGAGCACTGGTCCTTTTTAGCTTTCTCATGAAAAGTAAAAATGTTTACAATGTATGCCAAGATCTTCACTTTCCGCCTGACATCAGTTAGAGGTTCTGATCTTACAGAAATTGTGTTATAATGGCCTAAGCCTTGTTGCTAGGAAACAATAGGTTCCGATTTTTTTATTCCTGCTCTAACTCCTGTGCTGAACAGTGACTGGATACTGTACAGGTTTATGTTCTGTGGCTGCGGTGAAATGGTCTGATGCAGTTTGCTCTGGGTTTCAGACCAGAAGCATGCATTTTCTACAAGAACATCCCAGCAACACGCTGTAAATATTAAAAGTTAATATATTATGTGTCGATATTTGAAAAAGAAAGTACTTTGACTATTTCATTTTTAAAAAATAAAGGTGCAAACTAATGGCATGTGGCGTTGTCTTCGTTTACACCACGTTACGTGGGATATTCCGATTCTGTCGGTAAAGAGGAAAAGCAGCTCCATGCAGCTGAAGGGGCACTTGCTAAATACGGGCTTCAAACAGTATGGGTTGCTGCAAAAATGGGCGGGTGGGGGTTGCGAGCAATTTTTAGTTGGAGGTCTGGGTCACCAAAGGGGCATGCAGACAGCGCTCATGGCTGCGCGTGGCCTCCCAGCCCAGTTCTGTGCCCAGCTGACGGGATCTCGTCAGCAAAAGGAGAGAGGAGAGAGAGAGAGGGAGAGAGACAAACGCTGGTAAACGCTGGTCAGCACACGTCCAAGCAGTGAGTGGGGGGGGCAGCTGGTGGCCGTGGTAGGGGCCGAGGAGGAGAGTGGACGTGCTTACGCGTGCAGGGGTCTCATTTGCCGGCCTGCCTCAAAGAGACGGTGAGGAACGCTTGCGTGCATCAACAATACACTTGCAAGAAGAAATCAAAGCAGCCGGCATCTGCTGCGGGGAGGGGGAGGCAGAAGGCCGGCGACAAGGAGGATTTAAAGCAAGAGGGAAGTTTATGTGGTGGAAAACAGGCCGGAGCAGCCGGACGAGGCAGTGTCCCAGCGCGAGTCCGAACCGGGAGGGCTCGTGCTGAGGGAGGTGCAGCCCGCGAGGCCAAGGGGCGCTCCCCGACGTCACGTTCAGCTCAGCACCTCCACGGCTCGTGCTTGCTGACTTACGTAACAATAATAATTTAGAAAAGCAGCTTTTATAGATGTTATTAAAGAGTAAATCATGCTGGCTCTGCCACTGTGTTGCACAGTTAAGGTGAGGACCTTGGGTCAGCTGGCGAGCGTATGTAGCAGGGAGGTGCAGCCTGATGCATGCTGTATACGCTCCACGCTAGAAAATATGACATGAACCACTGGGGAGGGGGCGGGAGCCGTTGAACCATAAATGAAAGTTGACCTTAACGTAGAGAAAAAAAAAAAAAAATAGAGCACTGAACAACAATTGTCACAAAGTCACAACAGTACTGTCCGCCTGTCACTTGATCGGGGGACGGTTAATGCCCGTCACTGGTTTACAGGGAGCATTTTGTGCAGCACAACAAATGTTAGGCTCCCCCGACACGTCCCCCGTATGCCACCACGAAGGCAGCCAGGCCAGCCCCTCGGCGAGGCGGCTCGCACCAGTGACCCCCCCCCCCCCCGGGGGGCAAAAGCCCCAAGGGGCGCCCCCCGCTAGAGGAGAGCAGCAGCAGCCTGCCAAAACACACAGCTAGGTAAAGAAAAGCAGAGCAAATGGCATGCAAAAATAATTTTTTTTTTAATCACATACAGCTTTTTTTTTTGATGTACAGAGAATATCTAAAAAACAATACGTTCCCCGCTTTGCTGGTTACTCCCAGGTACTCAGCATGTTGCTAAGGCTTTCGCTTGCCCGTGCAAGCTGTGGCTTTTCTACCTGCAGGCTGTGCCGGCCAGTTCTGCTGTGCTGCACAGCAAGAGAGCCTGCTGTGGCAAGGCATCAGCATCCTCGTGGTGCCTGTCCTGGCACAGCTTTAGCGAGGGTACACAATCACCGTCACACAGACAGCCCACCCAGCGCAGGGACACTGTCCTATCAGCAGCTTCTCGGAGGATATAAAAGGGGCCTTGCCCAGGTCTTCATGAATTTCAACCATAATAGTCTGCACAGAAGAAGTCACATAAAAAAATAGGAACTAATCTTGAAGTGGAAAATATTTGTACTTAGAAGTACAAAGAGAAGAAAAGGAAAAGCCATTGCAGTGGTTGACATTTTTTTAATCTTCCCTCTTAAAAAAAAAAAAAAAAGCAAACCTAAATTCAAAACATTTTGAAACTTTCTGAAACTTAAAACTTGTAATTTTTTTAAGCTAGAAATTCTATTACATATACATTTCCGCAAATGCTACAAGAAAACTCATGGAGTTGTATTACCTATCATATAAATTGTTCTAGAGCATGGACTAGAGGCGAGACTTGGGGGGCGGGGGGGGCACGTGTGCGCCATACTTGGGGAGGTGTCTTCATGATGGCTGCAGGTAAAAGTCATGGCCTTCCTTTCTCCCTAAGAAAAACAATCACAAAAATATGAAAGGAAGAACTAAGCAGGAAGGTGAGTGCGCACAACGTTTGCTTGCAAGGGTGACGGCAGCAGGGAAGGCAGGCTCCCGTTCAGGAAAGCGCATGCAAAAGCAATGGTCTCGTTAGGCTAGCGGGGCTCAGGAGGCCGCGGAGTACCATTATTTTGGGTCACCCAGTAGCAAAGTTATGGGACGTTTTGGCAGCGGGTCGAAGCCTCGCGCGGGGGCTCCCGCACGCTGTACGTACCTGCGGGGGGCTTGGCTTTGCCCTCGGTGACGATGGGGTGCTGCAGTGGCGTCACGATGCCCTGGTCGGGCTTCTGGAAGGCCGTGAGCAGGTTGTGCACCTTCCGGAAGAGCCGCCTGTGCACGCCGGGCGCCGTCTGCAAAGCCACAAGGCCGAGATGTCACCCCAGGGCGGACGGCACCCGCCGCCTTGCACCTGAGCAATGAGCTGATTCGGCCTCTGCGCCGTTCCCAAGGACGATGCAGAAAATGATTTTTTTTTTTTTAACTCTGCAGTAATGTGAATCACTTTTACTCCCAGATCTGAATTACACCAGAAATCAGTCTGTCTTCCAGAACGCTACAATTTCTTCTATTATAATAATGGCCAAAGAATTAAGCCTGTTTAGCAATTATTTACTGTTTGTAAATCAGTGTTCATTAATGTGCAAACTGAAAGCTAATTATGAATTAATATGCTGACTGCATCCAAACAAAGAACAAGACCTTCATAAAAGAAAGAAAGGTTAACATTCAGATTCCCGCAACTGAAATCACTGTCTATATTGCAAACAGTGTTATGCCACACCTGAATTACCAGTTGCTTATTAGATAGGTGAAAATACACTTTGTATCAAGTTTTGGCTATTCTATGTTTATATTTGGACCAATGATGAATTAATCTGGAGAAATATAAAGTTTAGAACATTGTATGTTGAAAAGAATTTCTTTAAATCTTCTGGCATCGATAACATGTAAAACAGAATAGAATTGAATACTGATTGTGCTTGTCAAATTATAAAAGCACAGTATTTTCACCATTTAAAATGATGCAAACTAATGCACTATTGCATTATGCAAGAGCTGAAATGTAGCAAGGAATGCATTTATGAGCTCAAGACTGTCAGACTGTCTGAACCGGCACCAAGACATCTTAGCGATGGGCTCACTCGAGATCAATTACCTTCGATGAAAATTGGACTATGCAGAAATATGAATAAGTTGAATATACTTCATCAAATCAGTACCAACATGAACAGGATGAAAGGATTTCCAAAGGAAAAGGAGAAGCACCCACCTCAGCACTCCAGGACCCCGCTTCTGTCTTGGACACCCTGTATGTATAAATGTAACCTTGATGCCTGAGAAAAAAATTCAACAGGTATTATTCATTAGTCATTTATACTGTCAGGTTTCGCATACAGTACGCTCTGGTCTGTGGGAGTCACTTATCTGCTAACCTTTTCTTAATACATTCATCCATACAGGCTCTAGCTAGATGCAAAACTGAGACCCAGCTCAGAAGCTGTCTTCAACCATTTCTTTTTTTTTGGAAGAGAGGGATTGGTCTTTCTCAGATCTAATTTAGAGATACTCTTTCATTCCAGGTTAAATGACATTGTTGTGCTTCCTGCCTCAGTATTTTCAGTTTTATTTTTTCAGTGACCTCCTTTTACTGATGCATAACAGATATAATTTCTCTGGAAAAAGAAAATGTGTATTATTGTCAGACAACATTGCTACTAGGTGATTTATTTAAATGCAGATGTTCCCAGAAGCAATACCGTGAGTGTAATTTATTTGGAAAGCTAGAACCACAAAATCCAGGTAAACTACTTTTTGCCTTGCCAGTACATTCCCAGTTCTCAAATACTGATAAAGGAGCCCCTAAACCTTATAAGAGTGTGAAATCTTCCTTCTTTTTAAATCTATTTCGAGTCCTTTCAGAATAAGAAGGCATATGCTAACAGCACAAGGCATACTGATGTCTGGAGTCAGTCCTGCTTCTCCTAAGAAATCAAGACAGTGAATGATTGACATGGTAAATTATTACACCAGTATCCAAGGATACAGCTTAGAAGCAGGGACAATTGATAACAGTTCCATGGGCGCAACATTAGTTTAGATGGTATCAGACAAGAGAAAGTGTATTTTATACTTCATAGATTACATGACTGCACAGCAGGCTTTTAGGGCCCATTCACTATTTCAGTATGAATTCTTATTCTTAAGAAAGCAGAAAAATACTATATTTCTTTGCAATTATACACAGTGTTATAGTAGTTACTACAAAATAGCAGAAACCATCTCAATGACACAGATACCGTATGATTGCAATTACTTATGCTCCATGTCATGGCTCCTGGACAAATTCTTATTAAAAAGTCATTATAGCAACCTCTGCAAAGGGGTTTCTGACATAATTTAGCCAAGGAGGAAGCTATCACACTGCTATAACACCACAAAGTGGGAGCCAAACTCCCTGTTCTGATTTGTGAACTTTTTCCCACCAGGCTACCGCTGTGATTGAACGCAGAGGAATTAAGACACAAAGGACGTTCCCTCCTGTCGGACCTGCTGGGGACACAAACGATCGCCGCATCAGCCACAAAACTGTCCTGCTGCTTGTGCAGGGGAATACATGTCTGACGGTAATCTCAGCTTCCCACCACAACTTTGTCCACCTTCTCTTCTTAAGCAGCGAACATTTTCCCAGAGTCACAACTCCCCGGCTGGTGCCAGAAGGACACTAGAAGCAGCCGGGTGGCCTGGTCATGCTCCGTTCACGGATAACCTATGGAGGCGGCGGAGGGGTGTCTGGCACTGCTGTCCCCCGTGTCGCACCCTCGGACAGTCGTGGTGGTTGACAACACAGCTCAAGCTCAGTTGTTTAAAGCACATCCGTACATAGGCCGCCAGATACGTTCAGCGAAGTCAATGTCGCCCATTACAGCTCTTAGACCTTCTTGCAGTACCACATCTTCTCTTAAGACTGCCGTGAGTGTGCCTATATTCTCACCTTTTCTTGAGTAGCTGATGTTCATGTTCTTTCTAGAAATCACAAAGGGCTTTCCTGCCACCTATTATATGTAAGATGCCAGTCAATGTATGGGTACTGAAATTAGGATTTTTTAGGCCATAGGGAAACACCAAACTCGTTCTTCTTGCATTTTGTCCCCTCTCGTTGAAGCGGATAGTTGACCATCTCCCTGCTTATTTTTCTTTTCAAACCTCAAAACCAACAGAATCAGCTTGTGAAAATCTAAATCTCACTCTCTTGCCTCCTGTTTTTACTAACATACTGAAGATCACCAGTGCTTGTGCTTGGTTGTCCTGAAGTATTCCAAGTGCTTCAATCGCTTTAAAATCTGATTTTTCCACAAATGGCTCAGTTGCCTGGAAAACTACCATCTGTTGTTTGTCTTTTTCTCTTCCTAAGAGACTGCATGACTTGAAGTGTTTGAGGGGTTGTGGGGCTCAAAGCTCTGACGGCTTTTAGCACACAGCCAGATGGGTCCACTAAGCTAGACAAGTTGAAAAATAAAGGCCAGACAAAGTAATATTCGGGGCCAAAGCAGGATGAGGTATAAGACAGACACTTACCTAACATTAAAAACATTCCAACCGTAAAATAACTCAGCCAAGCCCGGGGAAAGCACAAATGATAATACAGCTAAAATCTGTGAGCTAGAGAAAAAGAAACAAGAATTTGGGAACGTGGACACTCTGAGCATGATGTGGAGCATGAGAGGAATATGACGTTGCTGTCACAGCCTTGCCAGAGACAAGTGAGAGCTTCAACTGATTTGGCGAATCTACATTTTTTTTCCCAAGAGGAGGAAAGACTGCAAGGCATGAAGGAGGTTTACCGTGCTTAAGCTGAAAAATGCAATATTCTCACCTGTCGTTGGCATTGAAGCTGTCAGTAAACAAAGCCCCTACGTGCAAAGGGAAATGACACAGGAGCTCTATAGATGTTTCTTCCAAGGAAATGGACCAAGGAATAAGGATGTGTTTTGTTAAGAATGTAAACAACTAGGTCTTCCCATCAAAACACTTCCCGTCAGGATCCTCACAAAATGAAGGCTTTTCTGATAATGACTCTCATAACGAATATGATCTTATCAAAACTTTCTGTTAAACAGCAGGAACTTACTTCATTACCACTTCAAAGTGCTTTCTACCTTGAGTGTGTGAGTGACATGATTTTGATGAGCCAAGTTCTCTTTACTGTTACATGGGCACAGTCTCCCACGAGAAAGATTTTTATGATTTAAGCTACCCAACATAAATTGAGATCAGTGGGGCTGAAGGAGGAACAAGCTATTTTTCTTAAAACAAAAATCAGAAGAAAAAATTAAAAATTGAGACTATGTAGAATGCTTACCTTCCAGCTAGCAAAAGACATAACACCGGGCGAAAAGAAGCAGAAAAGTGCACTTTCCGGTCCTTAGGACTCAGGAGATGAGAAATTCCCCAGCCACCATCAGGGGACAGCTCAGTTTTCTACAGCTTGCTCAGTCCATGGCAGAAAAAGGCTCATTTACAGAATGTCCCTAGGTGCGGGTTCGTCCTGCTGCTGAAGCCAGTGAATCGAGCACCACGTGGCCCGGGCACGGCTGTCCCCGTGAGGCTGGTGGCCGCTCTCCCCCCTCACAGCTTGTGCATCGAGGCCATTGCCCGTATAGAGCCAGGACCTGATCTCCTCCCCCTGCAAGGGAAAACTGACTGGAGAAGGACACACAGCAGGTCAATGAGAGGAGGACTTCAGGTGGACTCTTAGTGACATTTGCTTGTCAGGGTTTCCTTGAGGAGGACCTCGTGTCCAGGCAAAGACCTGACAACGGGCAACGTCGTCCTTTTGCCTGGCCTGCAACTGCTACAAGCCTGATTTGCTATCACAAAGTTCCTGTTTTGTGTCAGTGAGGCTCAAGTAATCAGGGCACAATCCTGAATTAGCAGCTTGGTGAACTGAGTCCTACAGGTGAAAAACATCAAAGGTGAAAGATATCACAGTATTGGGCAGCACTGTTAAAAAATAGCAGTTCAGTAACCACAGATGATTTTTATCTCATCTCACATATTTCACTTTTTTTTTTTTCATCTCCATAACAAAGGATGTGTTATACCAGCTGGGAGCAACACTAGCGCTCTCTGTTGCAATACCATAATTGGGAAAACTTTATCAAAGGGAAATCTAGGAAAAGTTCCTACAACAGAAACAATCCACTTGGTTTTACAGGTTTTTTTTCTTTATATATAGATAATTTCTCCCAAAGAGCTACAAAGGCATCTTTCACAGAAGACATACTGAGACAGCATCTGTCTACCTGTCCTCTCCACTCCTCCTTTTCAACTGTGATCGGACTTGCTAAAGCCACATTTTCATTAACAGGTGAATAATTACAATCTTCTGCACCACTGAAATAGCTAGACAATATTAGCAGCGTGCTGCAGCTTAAAATTAACCATGACATTTCAACTGCATGGTGTGTTTTAGAATCATTTCCAAATGTTTTGCATCTCAGTTGGGAAATTTTATTAAACTAATTTGTATTCATTTCTGGGTCCAAAATGAAATATAAAGGGATAAAGACAGAGAGATAGGGAGAAAGGCAATGTCAGCAATAAATGACATCAATTTTCCTTCTCTTTACATCTCGCTCTTTTCTGATGTCTTTGCGCTATAATAATCAATGCATCTTACCTGGTGTATTTGCATCCTGACCTCACCTTGGGATTTCAGCTAGACAATATTGCTTAAGAATGAGCCAGCTGTGCAACCTGCGAATAATGGTGCTGAGCGCTAGGAAGCTTGGGCCTTTCAGGCTTTTGCTAGGTGGATATCACCTCAACCTGATTTGGGGATGGAGGATGGAGAAGTAAAACAGGGGTGTTAGGAAAAACAACGCATTGTTCATATGTTTAAAAAAAAAATCTTCTAAATGTTGCATTGGGAAATTGGAATTTTTTGTCCAGTTTTTAAAGCAAGACTGAAAAGTTGCTTGAAGGAAGGTATGTCCCTTGTGGTCTCCAAGAGCAAGCCATGGTGGCTGTCAAGGCTCGTTAGCGGTCGTCAGCTCTGCTCTGCTGTGCTGGTCACGTCTCAGGTGCCGAGCTAAAGCAGCTTGATGACTTCACACCAAGAGATGTTGCCTGGCTTGGATCAGAGGGGACAAAAACTGGAACATGACTGAGACTGAGGATTGCAGAGAGGAAGATTGGACCTGGGCTGTGATGGAGCTGGCGCGAAAGGAAAGCAAAGGCGCTCCACGGCCATGTGAGCTGGTCAAGGAAATGGCGAGCACGGCCAGTGCCAGGGCCGCTAGCACGGACCATGGCACGGCAGCGAAAGGACGAC